ACTAAAAGGAAAAATAATATTTCAACTCCTAAAGGCCTGCCTTCTTTCTTTCTTTCTTTCTTTCTTTCTTTCTTTCTTTCTTTCTTTCTTTCCTTCCTTCCTTCCTTCCTACCTTCCTTCCTTCCTACCTACCTTGTTTTCTTCTTTTTCTTTCTTTCCTTCCTTCCTTTCATCCCTTCCTTTCTCCTTTTTCTTTCTTTCCTTCCTTCCTTTCTCTTTCTTTGCTTTCTTCCTCCATTTTTTCTTTTCCTTTCTTTCTTTTCCTTTCTTTCTCTTTCTTTCTTTCTCTCTTTCTTTCTTTCTCTCTCTCTTTCTTTCTTTCTTTCTTTTCTGTCTTACAAAGCTTTCCAATGGGTCTGCAAAGAGAAACCGCGCCAATTGTTTCTGTTATGCAAAGGATGCCCTCCTATGGACTAGAACCATGAGGGTTTTTTTATTTTCCCCTAGACATGTAAATATTTGATTTATGGAGCAGAGAGGCCTTTGTGAATTCCTTTCCTCTTCTCTCTAAAGGAAATAAATGGCTTTTTATAATCCACAACGCTGCCGGATAATGGATAAATGAAAATAATAATAATTCAGGGTGGCCATTGAAGGTTGTTGTTTTATCGATGGTGTTATTGTTGCTATAATTATTGTCGTTATGATTATTATTGCTCTTACTATTTTCAGGCCATATTTTCAGGCCACTCAGAAGGTGATTTTCAGGGCAGGAAAAACCACAGTATGTACAGAAAGTGTGTACTAACTTCCTGGCACAGTTTAAAAATAAAAACAGCAAGAAATCAGTTGAGACCCCTGGTAAGAGCAACCCAGATTTAAAGAAAAGCTGGATAAAAACCAGAAGGGGAAAAAGAGAATAAGAATAAAGGGATAGAAAAGAAGACTCCCTCTCCCCCCCCATCCAGTTTATGCCCCGCCTGGTTTTGTCCTGTGCCCGCCCACTGGATTCTGGCCTCACCCACTTTGGATTCTGGCCCTGCCCCTTGCTCGTTTTGATCCCGCCTTCCTCCAACTTCTGACAAAGCATTCTCAACCCTTTCTGTAGCAAAAGAGGCTCTCTCAACCCCTGACAGGGCCCAGCCATGTTTCTAGTCCTCAAGATCACCATCTTTTTTTTTTAATTACTCATTCTTTGCCTGTTCCTCCCTCTCCTTCCCTTGGTGGATATCTCCTGCTTTCTTCCACCCTCACAACAGTCCTGCGAGGAAACAATCTGGGAAGAAAGCCACA